AAGACAAGGGATGGGAAATTGGCTTCCTTGTTTAGCTTTTCTCTTTGTGCACATGTTTGTCCTTCCAGACGGAAGAAATTCTAACCTTCCCCTGCTTTAGTTACCCAATTTGACAGCTCGGACTCTTGCATCACCACATCACATTGTTCTGTCAGGAATACTGCGCTGGGGTGTATCTAGGCTTAGGGAGATGCGACTGACAGGAAACAAGTTCCGACAGCCAGGCAAATGCTGGGCAGAGGAAGAGTTGGAGGGGAGGGAGGTGACAGGAGGCAAGAGGAAATATTTGATACAGTGGGAAGAGAATATCTTGGGCGAGGTGGCAGCAAGGTTGGCAAGACTGGATGTCTCCATCTGGATATCCCAGATTGAGCTTCAGAGAGATCGTGCCCAGGAAGGCAAACTGGTCTGCTACAGTTGTTCCTGAAAGGAACAAAACTGGGGAGTTTAAGTTGCTGTTGTGGGGACAACATCTGGCTGAGAAGTTTTCTTCCCTCTGGGCCTCAATCTCCTCTCCTTAGAAACAAGGCCAGATTTGGAATTTTTCTTATAAGCCCCTAAACGCTTCTTACTTGAATACTCTTGAGACAAAAATGGAAGAAACAATCAAAACAGTTGTAAAGCCCTTCACAGAGAGTACTATTCAAGCAGCGAACATTGAGGATTCTGAAAACAAACATGGTCAAACAGAGTATTTGTCAAATCGTGAAACCCAGCCCCAGCAAAGTTTAATTCTGGCCTCTAAGTATTGTGTGTGGAGGAACCTAAGGGAGACATGTTGTAGAGAAGTGAAAGCTTGAAGATCTTGAAACTTGAGGGCAAAGCAGTGTATTTCAGTAGTACAAGGCTGGGGTGGGACTCTGGAGAGTTGGGTTTTAGACCAACTCAGCATTTATTGCTTTATATATGTGGACCTACATTTCTCAGCTGTAGAATAGAAGGAGGAATCTCTGCGGGCTTCATGTTCCTCGGGTGGGGGTGCGGGATTCTGCAGCAAGATACAGGAGGCCACAGTTAAGTATAACGCATCTTTCTGGAACATCAATTTTACCTGATGGCGGCAAATACTTTAAAACCTTATTTGTCATCCAAAAATTAATTCAGTTGCTCGACAATATTTATTGAGCCCTCACTACATGCCAGGTACTGTTTTAAGCACTGTTTTAATATCAAAGTAAACCTGGATATATTACAGAACAATATGCATAATTTATATGATCTAAGGTAAGCAGGGTCCCTAAAATTATTTTTCAGATGCAGAGGCACTGCTGGTTGTGTCCATCCACTCTCACCTCCAACCAAATAATACATATTTGTTCTCCTTACCCCTGGGTACACTCCCATGGATAGGTGTGCCAGTGGTCTTAAACCCTTTCCTGTAGATACGGAGTATACCGTCACAACCACCTGAAATTAAGCAAATCTTTGTTGCTGACAATAGGCTGGATATTCATTTCCATCAGACAAAAGTAAGGAAAGGGAATTAACTTTGAACAAGTGCCACTACTTGCCTGCAGGTAATATGTGCATCAGTCTTTTTAAAGCAATATCATGTGGAATTGCTGGATCATATGGTAGTTCTATTTTTAATTTTTTGAGGAACTGCCATACATTTGTGTGTGTGTGTGTGTGTGTGTGTGTGAGGAAGATTGGCCCTGAGCTAATACCTGTTGCCAATCTTCTCTTTTTGCTTGTAGAAGATTGTCACTGAGCTAACATCTGTGCCCATCGTCCTCTACTTTGTATGTGGGATGCTGCCACAGCATGGCTTGATGAACAGTGTGTAGGTCCACACCCAGAATCTGAACCCATGAACCCCAGACCCCCAAAGCAGAGCACGTGAACTTACCCACTACCCCAACGGACCTGCCCCCCTCCGTACTATTTTCCATAACAGTTGCACCAATTATATTTCCACCAACAGTGAGCAAGGGTTCCCTTTTCTCCACATCCTCACCAATATTTATTGTTTTCTTTTCGATAATAGCCATTCTCACAGGTGTGAAGTGATGTCTCATTGTGGTTTTGATTTGCATTTCCCTGATGATCAGTAACACTGAGCATCTTTTCATGTGTCTGTTTGCCATCTGAATGTCTTCTTTGGGAAAATGTATATTTAGGTCTTATGCCCATGTTTTAATTGGATTTTTTTCTTTTGATATTGATTTCTATGAGTTCTTTACATATTATGGATATTAACCCCTTATTGGACATATAATTTGTAAATATCTTCTACCATTTGGTACATAGCCTTTTTGTTTCCAGCAATTCCACTTCTGGGTATTTATTCAAAGAAAATGAAAACACTAATTCAAAAAGAAATATGCACCCCTATGTTCATTGCAGCATTATTTACAATAGCCAAAATATGGAAGCCACCTAAGCGATGAATTGATAAAGAAGATGTGGTATATATTACATATATATATATATATATATATGTATATATACTATGATATTACTAAGCCATAAAAAAGAAGGAAGTCCCACCATTTGGGACAACATAGATGGACCTAGAGGGTATTACGCTAAGTGAAATAAGTCAGACAGAGAAAGACATATACCATATGATTTCAGTCATTTGTGGAATATAAAAAGAAATAAATGAACAAACAAAACAAAACAGAAACAGACTCACAGATACAGAGAACAAACTGGTAGTTGCCAGAGGAGAAGGAGGCAGGAGGATGGGTAAAATAGGTGAAGGGGGTTAAGAGGTACAAAATTCCAGTTATAAAATAAATAAGTCCCGGGGATGTAATGTACAGCATAGAGAATATACTCACTAATATTGCAATAACTATGTATGGTGACAGATGGTTACTAGACTTATATGGCGATCACTCTGTAACATGTATAAATGTCGAATCACTATGTCGTACACCTGAAACTAACATAATATTGTATGCTAATTACGCTTCAATAAATAAATTAATAAAGCAATTTCATGTGATCTTCACAGCCATTCATCCAGAGAAACGACGTAAATTTCCTAGGGCCTTCCAGAAAAACAAAGTCAGGCTCCTGCACAGAAACCCAGGTCTCCTGTTTCCCATCCACCCAACTCCAAACCCCACCCCCTGGTTTCTCCCAGGTCCTCTCCTCTGAATCCAAAAAGTTAGCTCACTGGCAGAACACTCCGCAGGGCCCTGTCAGACATACCACAATGCCTCCAGCTCCTCTGGGGCGCCCTCTCCAAAGTTCCCCAGTGCGATCCTGCTATCACCGCAACAGCCCCAAGAGGAGAAATGTGCAAGACATTCACCCCTCATGGTATCACTGGAGAAGCTGAAGCCCAGAAAAGATTCAACGTCTGCCTGTGAATCAGCCTTATAAAACACAGGAACCCAAGAACCAAGGCCACCTCCGGCTTCTCACACTCAGCCACCAGACCCTTCCCACTCCATGCTTTGTGGCCTCCTGGGGAGCAGAAGCCGGGTTTCCATAGGCCTTGGTAGCCCTCAGCACCTCCTAGCACCAGGCATGGTACATGATAGGTACTTCACACAGTGTTGATCAATGACTGAGACGCTAAGTTACTTCTCTCGGAGCTCCTGTTTTCTCATCTGTAAAATGCCAGGGTCAAACTAGGTGATATCTGAGACACATTCCATTTCTAACTGGTATTTTTAGGTGAGCTGAGTACCTTAGCTTGGTAAATGGGAATAGTGGAAATTGGATTAGGAAAGTAGGTTGGGGTCCAAGGATGGATGGAGGACATACCATTGGACACGTAGAGGTTAAAACTGAGGGAGAGATAAGCCCTGCCCTCATGGAGCTGACAGCCTTGGGCAAAATGACATCCTCACCTAGAATGGAGACAGACAGGCAGGGCTGCTCAGTGGAAAGAACCTCCGTAAGCTTGGGAGTCAGGAGACCTGGGCTCCTGGGCACAGCCTGACTTTGTTTTGCTTGAGAGACCCGGGGAAAAGTACTTCCTTTCTCTAGACCTTGTTGGTTTTAAGTCATAAATGTCTGTTCTTCTACAACATCATGAAAGGAACATCTTCTCTCTCTTGACAGGAGTGGGGCAGGAAGATCTCTTTTCCTGTTGCCTGGGATTCTTTCTTCAAGGCACAGGTCACGAGGCTAACATGGCTCATTTTTACATGAGAACTCTTTGGAGCAGGCCATGGCCTTAGTTCCGACTCTGCATGTACAGAAATTTGTGGAAATCTGAGTATGTTATAGATCTTAATCTCTTCTAATTTCTTCAAACATATTCTCTTTCCCTTCCTTTTGTTAATATTTTCGGCTAGACAGCCTCCACAGAGGAAATTACAGACTCTCTTGGCTGGAAGTGACCTTAGGGTCTTTATATCTTGATGTTCTTCCATCTCAACATATACACATCCAGACTCTGTCTGAACATCCTCAGGAGCAAGGGTCTCACCACCTCCCAGTTCTGTCTGGGATAGTTCCATTTATTCGAAAGTTTCTCAAAGGAAAGTTGACAGCTTCCTCACCTAAATGAACCTCAGTGCTCACCAGCTGAGCGGAGCATCAGCTCACCAGCTATTTCCTTGGGATCTGGAAAAATAGCTAGGTTTTCCCTAGGAGGATTATTGTTCCACACAGGTCATAGTTGCAGATGTGTTGCCGCGGCAGCTGTTCCCCTCTCCAATCCTAAGTCTTAGCCTTTACATGTTAGGCCCATCTCCATCATTTACAAATCCCATAGTAACTTGTTGCATGTTAAGTAATGTTTGTTTTTGGGACTCTTTCTTCCAACTCCATTTTCTTTAAGGGAGTGTAACTCTGGTTAATCCCATGAGCTAATTTCATACAAGTGATCAGGTTTAAGTCTTGGCTTGATCCAGGTCTGAATTCTGGCACACTCAGTAGCGTTGTGACCTTAGTCAAGTTACTTATCTTCTCTCAGTTTCCTAGTCAGTAAAAATTAATTATTCTTACCTCATGAGTTGTTGCAGGAATTAAATTAAATAGAACAGCTGAGGCATTTGTCCTAGGAAGAGATAGTGTTAAGGAGACTTACGTACCTTATAGTTGATCTTTATGTAGCATCCAAATCCATCTCTCCGCAGCAGTTACCATCTTCTTCATCCGAGTTCTATCCTCTGGGACCATGCAGAATAGGCCTAAATCCCTCTTCCACGTGGCAACCCTTCAAATATTTCCATTTGACCACAACCAGTTTACATGGCAAAGGGCCTCACCAGAGAAACTGAGGTGGGATAAAGCGTATCCAGAGCCTCACCACAATCTGGAAGGAGAACCAAGAAATGCTGACTTCCCTGGCCTGGAGTGACCACTCCAACATCTGCCTCCAAGAAAAGTAGGGTGAGCCAGGGCTGCTGGAAAACTCAACTCTGGCAACACATGACATTGAAGTGTTGAAACATGCCACTTTGATGTGGCATTAGCTCATGATACTGCTTTATTTTTTTAATTTAGAAGAAAAGCACAGCTGCTAGAATTTTTAATATAATAATAAGTATGGTGGTGCACCAAAGATTTTCAGGAATTTTTCCACAAGAGCACTGCATCCAATTGTGTAACTTTTTTATATCCATGCAAATGTATTTTTTTCTATTATGCAAAGACTTTTTAAATTGTTTTCTAACCTTTCCACCTTTGAACTATTGAATTCTTGAAAGACTAATGTGCTCTGTCTAGTTAAAACAATTTCTAGAACAAGACAAGGTTTTAAACAGAGAAACAAATAGTTAGACTGAATTGCTTTATTTGTTGAATGGAGATTCTAAGAAATCTCTTTGCTACATTTCTACCTGCTTGGCGTATGAGCATTATTTGATCCCATGTTTTGAACTTACTGGAATGAGACCACTAGATAAATGCAAAATATTATTCTTATCAGCCAGTCCCATACTTATTCCGTAGGTAAATTTCCTGTCTCTGGAGGCTTTTCAAGTTTAGACTGCTACGACCATGATTCCAGGGTTCTATTGTGTTATTTTCTGTGTGATACTGAAAATTTCTCTATCTCATGGTAAATAGCCTAGTCATGGTAGGACCAATCAAAAACCATAATAATTTTTCTTTCCCTTTTTTTTTCTTTACCAGTCTCAATGTCTAATTCATTGATTATTTATCAGGCAGAATAAATCTGATAACTATTTTTATTAATCATCTTTATCCACCTGCAGAACTTCACACATCGTGTTTGCCTAATGGGTTCCCAGAGTGGCCAGAAATTGATGCTATCAGACTTCTGTACCTGGAGCACCCAGGGTTCTGGGCCAGTTGCCTCCAGTAGCAAGTAGCTTGTCTGTTTACCCCAGTATAGCAAAGAAATACTATCAGTTTCTTTGTGTTGCCATGTCATGAAAGGAGTTGAGAAGCACTGAGCTTCATTGTAAATTTTAGACCTTTCAAAATGCACAATATAATTTTAATATTGTGGAGACAGTTGAAACTGGCCACTTTTTGTTTTCTTCATATTTTTTTAAAAAGTATACTTATGTGGATCTTGTCTCTTCCATGCAATTTAGTGACCATGGGTTAGTCATCCCTGCCTGACTCCGTTTACGTCTGGAGAAGAGCAGCTATAACTCTGAAGACAGTTAAAATCTCAGGAGCTCCATCAAGTAGAATGAGCAAAGCATTCTCACCAGCACACTTCCCTCACCGTCCTGAAACAGGCCCCTACCTCAGATCCTGTTCATTCAGCTCAGATGCAATTTCCTTCAAGAAGCCTTCTCTGACTCCACATGCTGTCACTCGAATTAGAAATAATCTCTCTGTTCTCTGAATTCCCTTAGCTCTTGTTCTGTCCTTTTCTTACAACATTTAGCAATTTTTGAATCCTGGTCAGTCATATGATAATAGCGCTACTGGAATGTAAACTTTTGGAGGGTAACGTCATGTCTTGTTTTCAATATCCCTTAAAACATTCCTGACGTGAGTTGAATTACACATGAAAGGCACTTAGCCAGCTAAACGAAAGACAAATTAATTCGACACTTCTCTTTGCTTTGGCCACAAAGCACTTATATCTGATTAATATGGAAATTTGAATTCCTTTTCAAAAAATTCCGAAAATTTATGGCAGCTTATTTTTAATTTTAATGACATGATCTAGACAAAAACACATGGAAAGCATTAAACTTCACTGTTAAACAGAGAAATAAAATGAAAACAAACTTGAAGCACTGTTTTCTGTATATTAAAGTAGAAAAAACTTTAAGCAATGCTTAGAAGAGTTGTGGTTAAAGTGACTAGTGGCATTTTAAATTAACATTCTTTTAAAAACAGTATACAAAAGTCATAACAACTTCCCCAGTCATCCCATTCATAGGAATTTTAGAATTCATGCAAAGGGAACTATTCAACAGCAACAAAAACAAAAAGCAAAATATGCAAAATGCACAAAGATGCCTGTGACAGCATTCACTATAACAGCAAAAAACAAACAAAAAAATTGAAGACAATCCAAATGTCTAGGGGAATGATTTTATTAATTATAAAACAGTATCAAAAATTATATTGTCTAATTAAAATGCAAACTTTAAAAAGAAAATGCTTATCATATAATGTTAAGTGGGGAAAAAAGTCAGGCTATAAAATGAAATGTCCATTATGCATGCATGATAATGACTACAAGCAATAGACAAGAATGTGCAAAAATACAAATAGATGAATATGGTGCAGGATCCTGGCTTGTTTTCTGTTTTAAAGTCATTACATCATCTTTTCAATGACAGACTACATTTTAAGTAATTGAAAACAACCACTCATTAGCCTTGTCCTTGTATAAATTCCCAGAGAACACGTTATTCTTATGCATTTCTGCCTCTGCTACTTGTCTTTGATTTGAACCAGCCCCATCCTCTTCTTCCACTTCTTACCCTCCTAACTAGACTGGAAAAAGACCCTCATCAAACAAGGAAGCAAAAGGCACCGAGTTTAGTAGAAGCCGTGCATCCAAAACGGCAAACATCAGAGGGCAGGATCTCATACCTCGCTGCCACCGTTGCAAAGGCAGATCCAGATTCTTCAACGACCACCAGTGGCCTTGGTTTAACAAGCCTTGCCAACAAGGCACAATGTTCCCGTCCTCAGAAATAGTCCCCGGCAGAAGCTCCAGGGGCCCATAAAAGTCTGCACTCTTGGAAGAATGTGACAACTCTGGCATCAAACACAGATTCGTCATTTTCTATAATAGAATGTTCAGTTGCATGAGGCTTTTTTAGCAGAGCCAACACTTAGTAAAACATTGAAGTTGGCAAAGTGGATTTTCACCTAGCCCAAAGCCTGCTTTCCTTGTCTCCAGATGATCGATAAAATCACTCACGTTACAGTTTACAAAGTCCTTTCACATCCAATTTCTCATTTGACTCTTGCATCAGCCCAGTGAGGCCAGTGTTATTATTTACCTTTCAGAAGGATTCTGAGAATCAGAGAAGTGAAATGATTTATCTAAGGCCACACAGCAAGTCAATGACTGAACGAGAATGCAAGCCCAGCCCTGACTTCTGCTCAGTGCTTCTTCCGCTCTCCCTATGTGCTTCCCCTTCTTCCAGTCCAGGGAAAGCAGTGACCTAGTGCACCCACTCACACCAGTGTTCTGTATGCTGCCATCCCAGGGATACCTATGTGTTAAAGGAAGGTAGAATAGGAAGGAAGGTGGTTACCTGTAAAGACAGTCAAGGGGCTCCTAAGAAGATGCTGACCTAGCCGGAACTATTGGCTCCTTCCCCCAAGATCAACTCTGAGGAACTATTGAAGAAAAATATTAAGTTGCAGAGAAAGCTGTGAGATGCCCTGGAGAGAGAAAAGCTGTTTTGACTGGCATGTATGTGTATCTGAAATGATCCCAACCTAAGGTAGAGGATATCTAGGCTGCTGTGGTGAGATAAAACAAGAAAAGAGCTGTTGCATCTTGGAGTCTTCATCGCCCCTCCATCCTCACCCCCATTGCCTTGGGACAGACAGGGTTGGAGCAAACCTCTGAGCAAGTGCTCCTTAGGTGTAAAACCAGGGCAGTGCAGAAGCCAAGTGCTCGAGTAGCGGTGAGGAAAACATACAAAGATTGACTGGTCTCAGGTGGTCACTGCCCTCTCCTTCTAAACCACTAAGGCTGGTAGATTACAATCTCCTCTTCTAGATAGAAATTCTTCCTAAAGTAAGCACATCTGAGGCGCTGTTTGGTGGGGCGAGGAGTGTTTAGCTCTTGTTGTCTGATGCTTGGAACCCTCCACTCTGGATTCATCCTCCATCCTCAACCCCCACTTTGAACACACTGGTGCCGACACAGATGGAGGTCTGGCCTTCAGCTCTTCCACCATCAGCATCGCTGGACGGAGTGGCCTATAATCCCAGAGGAATGGAAGCTCATGGGCCAAAAGACAAACACTAATATTTCCAAAGAAAAACAACAGGCTGATGTTCAGATTTCATAGGAACGAGAGATATTAGAACTGGCAGATCAAGAATTTACATACATTTTAAAGAATTTGTTTAATTTTTTATATTTAAAAAATAAGGGTTGATATTGGCAATATATAGTGAAAACCAGAAACTGTAAAAAGAATCAAGTAGGCATGTTAAGTATGAAAAATATAATAGTTGAGATAATGAACACAATAGATGGTAATAAGTAGAATGGATTCCACTGAGGAAGGAATTAGTGAACTGGAAGATAGATTGAGGAATTCTGCTTAGCAGAAAATTATTCAAAAAATAGAAAATATAAAAGTTAAGGTATAAGATGCAAAAGTAGTCCCAGAAAAAAAAATAGATATAAATGGAAAGGAGGAAATATTTGAATGAATACGGAGATAATTCCCCAAGAATCAATGAAAAATAAAAGACCTCAGATTGAAAGGATCCATAGAGAGCAAGAGGAGAGAGAAGGAAAATCATACTCCTAGACATAAACTATGTTGAAATTTAAGAATATCAAAAATAAGGTACAATTGTAAAAACTTTCAGAGAGAAAGAAAAGGATCACTTACAAAGGAACAAGAATAATGCTGGTATCAGGTTTTTCAGCAGTATGCAAGGATGCAAGAAGGCAATGCAGAAGTGTTTTCAAAATTTTGGAAGTACAGAATTTCATTTACAGCTATACTTTCATTCAAATGTGAAGGCATGATAAAAATACTCTAAGACACACAGAGTTTCAGAATGTTTGCCACACAAAGACCCATATGTAAAACATTTTTTGATGAGAACTTAGATAGAAAAAATCTAAGGGATGATGGAAGAAATATGTGAAGTAAAGGTGATTAAACAGATCTGTAAAGTTTGTGCTTGTCTTAAAAAATAACTGAGACCAAAGAAAAGAGAAAGCAAAAGCATATATACAAAAAACAAGAATTGAAAGTCCAGATAAACTCAATATAATGGAGTAAGGGGAGGCCAAGGGACATCTGAGCATATCAATGCCCTTGTCTCATATGAAAGAAAAGATAGACAGCTTTAAAATAATAAACAAAAGAATAAAAAACATAGAAAAAAGTGTGACAAATTGAAATAATAAATTAATAGAGTAAAATAAGGTTCTAATATATGGGCAAGTACTATAAACAAAAATGAACTAACTCTCCAAATAAAAAGCAAATCCAGATATTTGCTATACACTAGGCACATTCTAAAGCAACATACGTGCAAAAGACAAAAATAAAAGGTTGGAAAACGATTAATCAGGCAAGAAGAACAAAGTAAAGCTGGTGTCAATATAATATGATCAGATAATATGAAGATCACAACCTTTATACCAAAACTATCAAAGAACTATAAGAAAGAACAATTACACAGCTGCGCCACTTATTGCTATAGATGTAAAAATCCTAAAGAAGGTTTTAGTAAATCAAATCCAATAGTGCAATAAAATTATCTTATAACACACTGAGCTTCCCCCAAGTATGTGGAGATAGTTTTAACATTAGACAATCTGTAAACATAATTCACCATATCAGCTAAATATTGCTAGTACAATTAGAAAACAAAAAGAAATTAGAAGCTTAAGGATTGAAAAGGAGGAAATAAAATTATCATTATTTTCAGAGGATGTGATTTTTTTTGACCGACTTTCGTAGTTGTTTTTGCTGAGAAAGTTAATCATGGCTAGAACTGGAAGTTTGTAAAACCACTTAGAAAAACAGATTGTATTACAGTCACGCCTCGCTTAACAACAGAGATACAGCCTGGGGAAGATGTTAGGTGATTTTGTTGTTTGTGAACGTCCCAGAGTGCACTTACACAAACCTACGTGGTATAGCCTACTACACACCTAGGCTATATGGTAGTAATCTTACAGTATCACCACTGTATATGTGGTCTGTCATTGACTGAAACGTCATTATGCAGCGCATGACTGTTTCATAAAAGTGGACTTTATGGGCCCTATAACTCAGCAATTCTACTCCTATGACTATACTTAAAAGTAACCTTTGCATATGTATACCAGAAAATGCAGATAAGAATGTTCATAGCACTACCGTACAAGTTAACAAACAAAAAAATTCCCATCAATAGGGGAATTGATGAATAGGCTATGGCATATTCAAATTAAGTGAACTACAACAAGAAGTAACAATATGGACAAATCTTCACAGTATAATATTAATTAAAGAGTAAAAATATCAAAGAATGATGTCTTTTCCACAATATTAACAACATTAATAAAATATACTTTTAAAGGAATACATATAAATGAGTGAAAACTAAAAAGGAAAGCAAAGGAATGATGAACACGAGATCCAGGATGGTGGTTACTTTGGGTGCGGGTGGCAGGGGTTGAGTAGGGGAAGACCACGGGGAAGATGTGGTCAAGGTACTGTGAAAGTCCTAGTTTTCACCTTGAAGAGACATTCATGAATGCTTATTACATTAGATTAAGTAAATAAATACAATAGCGGAATACATCAAACAAAGATTGTGATTAATCCAGTTCTAAGTCCCTGAGATCTAAAAGAAATATTTCAAATGGGGGGACTTCAGGCACTGAGGCCCTGGAGGTGGAGATTTCTCAGAGCAGGAGAACTGTTTGAGTCATGCATTTCTGTGGCCATTTGCTCCATCAGCCCTGGAGGTCTGCCTAGTTCCTTAAATATTGGTACCAAAGCTCTGATAAAGATCATGGGCAAAGACCCTTTATTTCCGTGCTGGGACATCCTGACATTAACCAGTGGCAGAGGTTTGCTTCTCCTGCAGCAGTAGTATCCTAACCAGTCTTCTTACCTCAAGCCCTACCCTCCCTTATAGTTCTCCTCCATAGTACCTCCACTGTGTTACTACTAAGCGCAAAACTGGGGATTACTTTTTCTACATCACTATCTCTAGAATCAAGTCTTTGGCAGGGTATTCTAGGACCTCAGTCATCTTTCCTCAGCAAAATAGTCCTGCATTACTCACCAATCCTTGAATACTTCCTGCAGGTTCACACCACCCTGCCTTTGCTCACGCTGTTCAGTCTATCTGAAAAGCCCTCATCCTTATCTGTTGACATTTCACTCATTTTCAAATCTCAGTCCGCTTCTTCCTATTCTATGATGACCTAGAGGGAGGGGGCAGTGGGTAGCGAGGGTGGGACTATCCAGGTCCTCAGGAATAGCTGCAGCTTTAAGATGGACAAAATTTAGACATATAGAATTAAACCAGTGACAGAGCCTGCAAATCATGTCCAGGTTGCAACTGAGGCTTGATTCTGGTGGTACCCACCTGTGTCATTAGGGTCAATGTAGGTGGGCCTGGAACTCATCTCTTTCCCAGTTTCCCAGAGGTGGTTTCTGGATAGCAGTGCAGAAAAAACTTGGGTTTTGGCGTCAGACTGACTTGAGTCAATTCTGGATTTACCCTTTAAAATACATCAAATCTATGGGAATTTAAATATTAGCATGCTGAAAAATGAGAGAACAATTTAAATAGTTGCATATGATTCCACCTATCATTTCCTTAAGTTAGCAGATGCACCCCAGCGAGCAAGAGATGACACACAAGAATCTGCTGCTTATGCAAAAGCACTTGTCCTGTACTTTACTGACAAATTAAAGGATTTTCAAGGTAAGTTTGACTATGAGCAATGTTGACTTAGCTCACTGATTTTGAAATCCTAACCCCGGGGTGAGATGTTATTCCAATATATGAGCTTGGTGACTTTGTACATATCTCTCAATCTCCCTGAGCTTTGACTTCCTCATTCTTAAATTCTTTTAGGAGAGTGGCAGGCTGTATTTTCCAGAGTGGTCACAGCAACATCTGCCATCCAACCCGAGCTCTCATCCCACAAAGAGTGGGATCTATGTCCCTTCC